AAGTGATTTTTATGGACCCTGTCAAGAAATAAGCTGTCTAAGTCTTGAAGCACTGCACTGCTGCAGTATTGTTGAAGTCAACTGGGAATTGGCTTTGTGTCCTTGTAGGATGTCCTAAGCATCTGTCTGTCTGCCCCATCTCTAGAGAATATCAAAGAATTCTTTTACTTCAATATATAGAAATGATTTTGGCAAGTGACAAACACTGCCCATTAGTTGAGATGATAAACTATAGTTACTACCCCTTTTTTTTTATTTTGCGGTACGTGAGCCTCTCACTGTTGTGGTCTCTCCCGTTGCGGAGCACAGGCTCCAGACGCGCAGGCTCAGCGGCCATGGCTCACGGGCCCAGCTGCTCCGGGGCATGTGGGATCTTCCCGGACCGGGTCACGAACCCGTGTCCCCTGCATTGGCAGGCGGACTCTCAACTACTGCGCTACCAGGGAAGCTTTTTTTGTTTTTACTACCCTTTTTGATAGCTGTGGCAAGCAGAGTTTTTGATGCAGCTTTTAAAATAGAACTTTTGTCTTAGACACATAAGTCTGTGAATATGTGTTTTTTCTTTAAGTCTGTAGTGATTGACATGATTGCTATATAAGTGTAGTCAGTTCAGAATTACCCTTGAGCAGATTATCACATTGCAATTGGTCCAGTATTGCTTTCAAATTCTAATTGACATTTTCATATACTCGGAGCATTAGGTACTTTGTTGACATAAATAAAACCTTTACTTACTATCTAACCAGAACTAGAAAAAAATTCCTTTGAACCTTGCAGAACATTGATTTGAACCAGAAAATATGTTATTTTCTTACTTTGGCATGGGATCAACAAGAAAATTACAGTTGGAGTAGGGAGCAGAGTCAAAAATACAGCTAAAACCTTATAACAAACATCCCAGTTTTTTCTTTGACATTCCGAGGATGTATGTCCATATAGAATTACAAAGCCAAAAAAGAATATTTGTTTTAATAACTGCCACTGTTAACTGTTCATAGACTAGACTTATTTTGTTAAGATGGTAATACTCTCTAAATTAAGCTACAGATTCAATGTGATCCTTACCAAATCCAGCCAGCACTTTTGCAAAACTTGATGCTCAGATTCTAAAATTCATATGAAAATGCAAAGAACCCAGAATAGTCAGAACAAACTTAAAAAAATAATTGGAGAATTCTTACTTCCTGGTTCCAAAACTTAGTACAAAGCTACAGTAATCAAGACTGTGTAGTACTGGCAAAAGGATACAAATATAGATCAATAGAATAAAATTGAGAGTCCAGAAATAAACCCTTGCATTTTGGGTCAGTTGAGTTTTGGTAAGGGTGTTAATACAACTCAGTGCAGAAAGAATAGTCTTTTCAACGGATGGTGCTGGCACAGCTAAATATCCACGTGTGAAGAATGAAGTTGGATCCCCTACCTCACACAGTGTACAAAAATCAACTAGAAATGGTAATAGGCCTAAATGTAAGAGCTAACACTATAAAACACTTAGGAAAACATACAGGAGTAAATCCTTGTGACCTTGTGTTAGGCAGTATTTCTTAGATATGACACCAAAACACAAGGAACTAAAGAAAAAATAAATAGAACTTCATTAAAATTAGAAACTTTTGTGCTTCAAAGGCCCATCAAGAAAGTGAAAACACAGCCCATAGAATGGGACAAGATTTGGAAATCGTATACGTAAGGAATATGTATATGGAATGTTTAGGAAACTCTTACAACTCAATAATAAAAATACAAATAATTAGGCATTTCTTCAGAGAAGATATACAAATGTCCAACAGTCTCATGACAAGTTGCTCAGCATCATTAATCATTAGGGAAATGCAAATCATTAGTCACTAGGTATATGCAAAACAAAAACCACTATGATGGCTAAATTTTACACCCACTATGATGGCTAAGTTATTTTTAAAAAAGGAAAATAACAAGTGTTGGTGAGGATTTTGAGAAATTGGAACCCTCATATATTACTGATGGAAATGCAAAATTGTGCAGATATTTTGGAAATACTATAGCAGTCCCTCAGAATGTTAAACATAGAGTTAAGATATGGCCCATCAATTCCACTCCTTAGGTGTATACCTGAGAGAAATGAAAAACGTCTGTCCATGCAAGAATTTCTCATTCTTAGCATTATTTCACAATTGAACACTTCAAATATTCGTGGCAGCATAATTCATAATCATAAGCAAAAGTGGAAACAACCCAAATGCCCATAGAGTGATTCATGGGTAAACAGAATGTGGTACATCCATACAGTGGAATATTATTTGACCAAAAAATGGAATGAAATACTGATACATGCCACATCATGGGAGGGTCTTAAGAACATCATGTTAAGTGATAGAAGCCACATATCTTATGATTCTGTTTATATAAAATGTTCAGAATAGGTAAATCCTTATTGACAGGGCTTCCCTGGTGGCGCAGTGGTTAAGAATCCACCTGCCAATGCAGGGACTGGGTTCGAGCCCTGGTCCAGGAAGATCCCACATGCTGCGGAGCAACTAAGCCCTCACGCCACAGTTACTGAGCCTGTGCCCTAGAGCCCGCAAGCCACAACTACTGAGCCTAGAGCCCGTGCACTGCAACAAGAGAAGCCACTTCAGTGAGAAGCCCGCGCACCACAAAAAAAGAGCAACTAGAGGAAGCCTGTGTGCAGCAACGAAGAACCAACCCAGCCATAAACAAACAAACAAATAAATTTTATTTAAAAAAAAATCCTTAGCGACAGAAAGTAAATGATTGCCATGGGCTGTGGGAAGCAGAAAACATGGGGAGTGCTGGCTAATGAGTATGGGGTTTCTTTGTGGGGTTTTGAAATTGTTCTAAAATTACATAGCGGTGGTGGTTGCAAAACTCTGTGAATAAGTGAAAAAGGACTGCCCTGTACTTTTTCAGAGGGTGAATTTAATGTTATATAAAGCATATCTTAATGAAGCTTTTATAAGAGAAAAAGTAGTGGATCTTAAAGCTTCAGTAAAGCCTTTAGATGATTGCAGCTGCAGCCCTGCTGACACCTTGACTGCAACCTTATGAGAGATTCTACCCCACAACTGCCCAGCCAAGCCACTTCTAAATCTCTCACAGAACCTATGGGAGATAATGTTTTTTAGCCATTTAATTTTGAATTTATTGCACAGTATTAGGAAGCTAATAGAATGCCATTCAGCTTATTTACTCATTAACATTCACTAAATCAATTCTGTGTGTTGTGTGCTTAATGTAGAGAGGACTAGATACAGCCTCACCCTTCATGGAGCTCCCTCTTGTGAGAGAGAGAGATGAGAAAGTCAGTGATTTTGATTTTGACATAAATGCAGTCATCAAATGTTCTGTCATGTGCAATAGTCACAAGTATATATATTTTGTTAAATTGTCTCTTCAAGTATTTTTGTAACCTGCCCAACCCTGTGACTTTTCAGTGTAAGCATACATCAAGCCCTTCATAATAAGGTGAATGTTTGAAAGCTTTCAAAGACATTCATCTTTTAAGATTTAGTACCTTAAACTAAAAAGCATCCTTTAACTTTTTGGATTTTTTTTTTCTTTATCCTCATGAAGACGAAAAAGCGAATAAATTTTTTAAATCTAGTGTAGATCAAGTGCTTCCCAAAACTACCAACTTCCAGGTGAAATGTTGCTCTTCAATCTAAAAATGAAATAAATTTTTTTAATCAGTTCACAATGACACACTGCTTAAGTTGTGCCTCTCTGTCTTGTTTTCTTCAAAATATTAACCTAATTCCTTTATGTCCAGCCTTTTCACTCATCTGTTGTATTTTTTGGTTGAAATGGTACGTTTAGATCCATGAATGCTCCATGTAATTTGTTTCAGTGAAACCTGGGTTTGTAATGAGCGCTATCTGTGACTCTGCTTCTGAAGAGTGATGTGTCTGCAGAATTACTCTGTTAAAGTTCATTCCACACGGGGAGGGGGAAGGGTAAGTTGGGACGAAGTGAGAGAGTGACATGGACATATATACACTACCAAGTGTAAAATAGATAGCTAGTGGGAAGCAGCCACATTGCACAGGGAGATCAGCTCAGTGCTTTGTGACCACCTAGAGGGGTGGGATAGGGAGGGTGGGAGGGGGATGCAAGAGGGAGGGGATATGGGGATATATGTATATGTATAGCTGATTCATTTTGTTATAAAGCAGAAACTAACACAGCAATGTAAAGCAATTATACTCCAATAAAGATGCTTAAAAAAAGAAAAAAAATGTTCAGTTCCAAAGCCTAACCGAGAACTAATGTCTTACTAAATGAGAATCTCAAGCGGGCTGGCTTTCTAGAATCCATCTCTCCTCTCTGTAACACCCAGTTCAACTTTGCCACCATCCTGGAGTGCAGGACCTCTCTTGCCCTCTTACCTCTCTGCAGTAGAAGAGTGTTTACCATTTCAGAAGTTAAGTGGTTAATTTTAGTTTCTCTGTGCTGAAGATCATCCTCAGAATTAAAGTCTTAAGGCAAAGTAAGAACTCCAGATTTCTTTTCCTGCGCTAGTCCTGTCACACTTTTTGATAGAAGTGACCTTGCCAGGCAACCTTTTTTTCATGAATTTTGCTTTGTTTATATTTTTAGTGTCACCAGGGAGATGCAAGCAAGTACAGTACATTAAAGCTAATACATCACTACCTGTCAGTGGCACCTTCCCTTTGGTACCCCTTTTCCTTGCTGATTTAAAACACTCATTCCCAAAAGCTTATGGTTGAGTAGCAGGAAGCTAAATGATGTATTCCAAAGCTCTTAACATACTGCCTTGTGTCAATGGCCCGTTTGAGTATTTCAGAAACCAAACGGAAGAGAAAAGAACATTGAAAGCACTGAAAAGATTAACACCTGTTTCCAGTCTTCAAAGAAATTGGAGCACACTGTATATATCCAGAGTAAAACCATTTACTCTCTCCTGTTGAGACTTTTTATTCAAATCTTCAATTCTATGTGCATAACATCCACATGCTTGTGGGTTTGTTTCACTACAGAATTCCACACAGGACTTAGAAGATGAAGTTATGAATGGTGTGCAGACAGAACTGACATCGCCGAAAACAATGGATGCATTGAGGTATATTCTACTTATGTGAATAAGAATATTTTATTTCAATTTAATGTTTGGTTTTTTTTAGATTATAGTTTTTATTTTACAGGAAACATCAAGATAAGTAGAATACTTGAGTGAAACCTAATTCTAAAATTAATTGCTAAATTACTTTTTTCTCTCATTTTCTTTATATGATGTGAGAACTTCCTGACAAACATATATACAAATGAGCCTCGATGCTTCCAGCTCTTCTGCAACCTGGATTTCTTAATTGATTTTTTCTTCTCTTTGAACAACAGTTTAAAGTGAACATTTCAGCGTTCATCGTGGTGCAGTGTTTATCTTAGATGTCAGCTCCTTGAATATTACTGTGCCTTGTGTTTTAACAATCTTGCAATATTTTACTCTGTGTATAAAACGAATCCAGCCTATCAACCTGGATTTTTCATGTTTTTAATGTAAGTAACTTATTATACAAAGTTAGTTGCTGTCATGTTTACAGGCACTTGCTTTGCTCTGTGCTGATTTCCAGTTCATCCCTAGCTACTGCCTGGGTTCAAATCCCAGCTCTGCTGCTTATTACTTCTAGGAGTTTAGGCAAGTTGCTCATCAATCTTTGCCTTAGTTTCTGGTCTGTAAAATGGAAATAATATTAAAGCCTTCTTCAGAGGGTTAGTATGAAGACAGAATTAGTTATCATGTGTAAAGTACTTTGAACAGTGCCTGAGTCAGAGTAAGTCCTGTTGCTACCACTATCATCAACGTCATCATCATCTTTATTATTATCATGATCATCATTTTTAAAGTTGCTTCAAAATTTGCATAAGTAATTTCATGTTTAATAGATTGTTGGCTTTAGCCCTGAAAGGTGATGCTTTTGAGACTGATGGTCATTCATTCAGTCAGTCAACATACTCCTTTCATTGAGTCCAGTTATTAATAGGTGCCAAGCATGTTACATGGAATTAGGTTAAAAAAAAAAAATGTGTGATCACCTTTCATCATGCTGCTTTACTGTGTGGATTTTTCTCAAGCTTATAATTTATGGCCATATGACATAGTTACTCTTTATTTAGATTGTGTTTCTAAGATTAATGAGCTGCACAATATTTAAACTTTGGTACAGAAAATCTCCAGGGCACTGTCTTTTCAGAAGCTTGATAAGATTGTTTTTGGAGGTAGGCATAATGAATGTAATACTCTTACTCTGTTTGCCTTTAATTTCATTTTTTTTAATGTTAGCTTTTTGAAAAGTTTGCTAACATCTTGGCTAAGTATTACGTCGTTATAGAGTTAACAATCGTTTGGTTTATGGCTGCATGAACAAATTAGCTCAGCTTTCTCCAGATACAAGGAATTCAGAGAAACGGACTATCGGACTTTTAAAAAATAATATTCTTTAATGAAAATACATATGTGTATCTGTATAATTTGATTATCACAAGGGACTTTTTGCATGAGTTTTGTTATCACCTTTAGCAGGCTAAGGAGTCGCAATTCAGAGCGATTAATTTCTAGAGACCCAGTCTACATTCACCACTCTTGTCTCCAAATCCTTTTACTCCAGTGTTACCTGTTGTGTGCACCTTCACTGATTCTTTGGTGTTTTATTTCATGATACATAATCAGGGCTAAGAAACCTGATATGGTGAGCACCAGTGTAGGAAAAATCATCTGAAATTAGTCTGAGGCCAAGATCAGAAAGTAGAGTGAATGCAAACTCCATTGCTTGCAGACTCTCAGATGAGGGGAAGATGAGGATTTTAACAGCATGGAATGCAAAGCTGGGGCGGGGGCGTGGAGGTGGGCAGAGTGGCAGGAAGCTTAGAGATTAAAATTCTAGGACAGGATGTTGATTCTAGCTGGTATGGGATGAGGAAGAAAGAAGGGAAGGAAATTAGGAAGCCACTTACAGCTGAGTTACATCATCAGTTTTCTCCTAAGGCAAGGATAGTCTAATACCCCACAGAGCTTGGCCCAAGCATAGGACTTTGGGCTCACTTCCATGCAGATGGCGTAGAAGCTAAGTAAATTACTGCAGAGTCCATCTCAAAATGGCTTCAACCTGTTGTGATGTTTTAATTCCCCTAGCTATTGTTCAAGCCTTTGTTACTCTCTGTCAGACTATTGTAATAACCTACTAACTCTGCTCTTAAGTGTCAATCTCTCCTTATTCTCATTGATCCCACATATCACTATTGGATAAAATATTTTTTCTTTTTTAAAAGTATTGATTGATTGATTGATTGATTGATTGATTGCGGTACGCGGGCCTCTCACTGTTGAGGCCTCTCCCATTGCGGAGCGACAGGCTCCGGACGCGCAGGCTCAGCAGCCATGGCTCACAGGGCACAGCCACTCCGCGTCACATGGGATCTTCCCGTGTCCCCTGCATCGGCAGGCAGACTCTCAACCACTGCGCCACCAGGGAAGCCCTATTTATTTATTTTTTAAAAAATTTTTTGGCTACATTGGGTCTTTGTTGCTGCGCATGGAAGCTTTCTCTAGTTGCAGGGAGCAGGGGCTGCTCTCAGTTGTGGTGTGTGGGCTTCTCATTGTGCTGGCTTGTCTTGTTGCAGAGCATGGGCTCTAGGCACGCAGGCTTCAGTAGTTGTGGCACGCGGGCTCAGTAGTTGTGGCTTGCGGGCTCTAGAGCACAGGCTCAGTAGGTGTGGTGCACGGGCTTAGTTGCTCTGTGGCATGTGGTATCTTCCTGGACCAGGACTTGAACCCATGTCTCCTGCACTGGCAGGCAGATTCTTAACCACTGTGCCACCAGGGAAGTCCCTGGATAAAATTTTTTAAACCACAGCATTTATCAAACCATTCCTTAGTTCCAGACTTTTGGATTTATTGAAGTCCTGAGTTTGAACACTACCTTTGTAACTGTGGACTATTTATTAAACCTCTTTACAATATTCTTTTTTTTCTGTGGACTATTTATTAAATCTCTTTAAAATATTCTTTTTTTCCTATGGAAAATGGGCAGTTACACTAGCACAATACTAAATGAAAGGCTGGATAAACATTAATTGCTCTTGCAATCATCATTATCACACATACTATATTGTAACTATTTGTCATTCTCCCAAACAACACTATGGATCCTCCAAGGATTCCCGACACCAGGCACAGATCTTGGGACATAATAGCAGCATGTTTGTGGAGTGAATGACTGAACGGATAAAACACAGTGCTTCATAAATCATAGGCATAAGTATTAACTGCTCACCCATTATTAACACAAGCATTTATATTTAAAGAAAAATGATATTTAGAGGCAGTTCTCCAAATAGTCTTACAATATATCTTACAATAGTCTTATATGTATCTCTTATGAGGTACTACTCAATGTATTTTGATCTTAAGAAGACAATGAAGCAAGAGGTTTCTATTGGATGTTTCTTTTTTAAAACTAAGATTACCACTTGGTGTGCACTCCCGTTCATCCACAAGGGTGACCCACTGCTCCTTCTGAGGACTGCTGTGCAGCTGACAGGGTCTTGGTGCTCTGGCCTGATGTTAGGCCTGAGCCTCTGAGGTGGGAGACCTGAGTTCACGACATTGGACCACCAGAGACCTCCTGGCCCCATGTAATGACAATCGGCGAGAGCTCTCCCAGAGATCTCCATCTCAATGCTAAGACCCAGCACCACCCAACGGCCAGCATGCTCCAGTGCTCGACACCCCATGCCAAACAACTAGCAAGACAGGAACACAGCCCCACCCATTAGCAGAGAGACTGCCTAAAATCAAACCAAGTTCACAGACAGCTCAAAACACACCATCGGACGCAGCTTTGCCCACCAAAACACAAAAAATCCAGCCCCACCCACCAGAACACAGTCACCAGTACCCTCCACCAGGAAGCCTACACAAGCAACTGAACCAACCTCACCCAGTGGCTGCAGACACCAAAAATAACAGGAACTATAAACCTGCAGCCTGTGAAAAGGAGACCCCAAACACAGTATGTTAAACAAAATGGAGGAAAGAGTAATATGCAGCAGATGAAGGAGCAAGGTAAAAACCCAGCAGACCAAACAATTGAAGAGGAAATAGGCAGTCTACCTGAAAAAAGAATTCAGAGTAACGATAGTAAAGATGATCCAAAATGGAGAAAATACAAGAAATGTTTAACAAGTAGCTAGAAGAACTAAAGAGCAGACAAACAATGATGAACAACACAATAAATGAAATTAAAAATTCTCTAGAAGGAATCAATAGCAGAAAAACTGAGACAGAAGAACAGATAAGTGCCTGGAAGATAAAATAGTGAAAATAACTACTGCAGAGTGAAATAAAGAAAAAAGAATGAAAAGAACTGAGGACGGTCTCAGAGACCTCTGGGACAACATTGAACACACCAGCATTCGAATTGCAGGGGTCCCAGAAGAAGAAGAGAAAAAGAAAGGGACTGAGAGAGTATTTGAAGAGATTATAGTTGAAAACTTCCCTAACATGGGGAAGGAAATAGTCAAGTCCAGGAAGCTCAGAGAGTTCCATACAGGATAAATCCAAGGAGCAACACGCCAAGACACATATTAATCAAACTTTCAAAAATTAAATACAAAGAAAAAATATTAAAAGCAGCAAGGGAAAAGCAACAAATAACACACAAGGGAATCCCCAGAAAGTTAACAGCTAATCTTTCAGCAAAAACTCTGCAAGCCAGAAGGGTGTGGCAGGACATATTTAGAAGTGATGAAAGGGAAAAACCTACAACCAAGACTACTCTACCCAGCAAGGATCTCATTCAGATTCGACAGAGAAATTAAAACCTTTACAGGCAAGCAAAAGTTAAGAGAATTCCGCACCACCAAACCAGATTTACAGAAAATGTTAAAGGAACTTCTCTAGGCAGGAAACACAAGAGAAGGAAAAGACCTACAAAAAACAAACCCAAAACAATTAAGAAAGTGGTAATAGGAATATACATGTCTACAATTACCTTAAATGTAAATGGATTAAATGCTCCAACCAAAACACATAGACTGACTGAATGAATACAAAAACAAGACCCG